ATGATGATGATGATGATGATGATGATGATGATGATGATGATGATGATCTTGTTGACAACAGACTGAGGTCAGTTCGGTGTTCTGGAGATGATCATGTCCACGTCCATCAGTGGAATGCTCTTCAGCCACATGGTCTGCCATTAAGAGAGGAACGACCTATCATGCGTGAGAGACGCTCTGTTTGGGTTGGTGGTCGACGATGGGCGATCAACGAGTGGCAGGGCCTTGACCTCTCGTCTAGAGTTGCTACATGGCCTGCTAGATGAGTTGCTCTGCCTGGATTGTTTCGGTTTGGACGCAGACTGGAGCTGAAGACTCCGCCGCCGTTTTTCTCCAAACCCCGTGGCGCCGTTTTGACCGTTTTGAGGCACCTTTGCCGGGCAGCCTTTGTCGATCCTGGGCGCCACGGGACCTTTCTTGGCCTACACCTTGGCGCCCTGGCGCGCGAATAACATGGAACACCGGCGGGTCGTTTGAGGACTGCCAAAGACGTCCACCTTCTGAATGGGGCAAGCGGGGCCGGCCAGTCGGCCAGCCAGTCGGCCTGCTGTGAACTTCCGAACGAAAACACCGCCGGTCGGCCCCCCCCTATTCCAGTAGGTAAACCCCTTGAGACGGAGAACTGTTCCATCCTCGCGGGCGCTCCGCGGGGGCGGTCGCTCCAGAGGCGAAGAAACGCCGGTGGCGGTCTGCGGATGCTGAGCCACTCTATAAACCTGCCTGTTCATGATTAGTGGCTGAGCTGGCAGATGCTCTACTCTATGTCGTATGTTTAGTGGTGTAAGCAAATTCTTACGACATAGGCAGATGCAAAACGTTTTCAGAGCTGAAACCAGCTTCCTTCAAAGTGACCTTTTTGGAGTTAGCAAGTGACTGTTTGCAGGCCTAAGTGACCTCAAACCAGGATATAAAAGGGGTCACTTTGAAGGATCAGGAACAAGTTGATTGGGGTTTCAGTTTTTTTGGGCCTTGGACTCAATTGGACGAGTCGGCCATGTTTCCAAAAAATTTCGCCGAGGCCTTCATGGGAGGTGATGCAGTCGGGACGTACTCATTCTTTCAAGTCGTTTTTTTTCCAATTCACGATGTCATGGTGGATTAGGCCGTGGAAAGTCGGCAGAGTGGTTGCGGACTTGGGGGCGGTTCATCCCGCAGTCTGGTTCTACCGGCACTGGTGTCGATCCCTGAACTCAATGGGTGGGACCTGCACACTTGTGACATTTGCAATGAGAGAGAACCATAGGTCTTCTCTCTTGTTTTTGTTCCATGTTTTTGCTCGTCGTTTTTGCTTTTTCTTTTGGTTTGTTTGTTTCTCTTCTCTCTTCTCTCTTCTCTGTGTGTTCCCTCCCTCCCTCCCTCGCTCGTTCAACCCATAACTTACCCAGATCCCACAAACTTCCTCCTGAAAAAACACCTGGAAGAGCTGGTTTGCTCACCATGAAGTGCTGATGGCACGCAATCCCCCTCCGTCCAATCGTTGGCAGCTCGTGGAGCTCGGAGCACCTAAGGTGGTCTATGATTTGGGCATCGCCTTCAACCTGGAATTCATGCCCTTGTGTTCCGTCCAAACAGAATCTCGCAAACCAGAAATCTGCTTTCACATGAGGTGTACCAGCTCGGGACACACCCCAGCGATCTAGGCTTAGGACGAATCTTGGTAGATTCTTTGAGATGTCATTTGGCCAGAAAAAGATCAGAAAGATAAGTTACTGTAATTTGATCCACGAAACCACTTGATGGTATAGAAACCTTGAGGTATAATTGCACCAGTTGGTTTTCTGCCTTTTGAAACTCTTTTGGGCAAGCGGAGGGACACTTGAACTCCATGGGATTTTCCGTTCAGGTGTTCCCGTTTTGCGAGCAAAATGGGGTAAGAAACAGTAACGAATCCTATTGACATATGCCACCAGAAACACAAAAAATTTCAATACTGGACAGCAAAAGACATCATGCAGGAGTGGTGCGTCTTGTGACTTCAAACCAGGTACTTCTGGACCTGCATGTGGTGCGCATTCTTCACCATTGTGGTTGCCGTGTTCGACCTTTGTGCCCTCATGAAGCATGCAACATGGCCTTGCTTACAGGATTGGCCGCTTTTCACGCCGAACACCGCTGCGATGTTTGTACAAAGGGTTCCTACAGCATTCGGAAAAATGCAGACACACACACACACACACTCGGGAAATGCATACTGAATTGATGGCCCCAAGCCCTGGAGAAGCCTAAGTGAAAAAATTGCCTGGGTATAAGGGGTAGTATGTAAGGCGGTCTAGCGATCTTCACGAGGCCGCGGTTTCTGAAAGTCTCAAACTCCAAAGCTTCACGGTTCGGCGGGATCGAAAGCGAAGACACTTGTCTGCAGAGCTCAAAACCGACGCAATGGCCAATGACTTGTTCTAGTGACAAAGGGGCCCAGGAGGAAGTGAGTGGTAAACACTGCAGGTACCTCTGGCTGATCAGGCCAAATATCAGCACGGAGCTTGACCATCTTCGTTGGATCACCAGTCAAGTCCGTGGGGGATCCCCCTGCTTGAAAAGAATGACCGACAGGTCCCTTATGACAGCAAGCGTTTCACACACACGCCTCCGCGAAGGGAGGCAAAGGCAACGGCTGATGTGCACGTGTGCACGCAAAAGAGACAAAAGAGAAGGCGTGAAGAGAGAACGAAGCAAGACGAAAGTGTGTGGTTGCCGATGGAGGAATAACCAAGTGAATGGGGACAACCGATGAACCAAGCCTCATTGAAGCGAGCCTGTGGGCACCTATTCCTAGTTTGTTGAAGAACGCGCGTGTGCACAAACTAGGGTCCAGCAGAAGTGCACGCAAAGAAGAAAAGGGTGAAGATGACAGGATGTCAAGACAGAACGGACATGAAAGAAAAGAGGGAGACGGTGTGTGGGGGCCAATGGGGAGAGAACCAGATGAAAAGGGACAAGCCGGTGAACAGCCAAGCTTCATTCAAGAACCTCTTGCAAACACCTCGTGTGTTGGTAACTACGCTGCGCGCAGGGGAGGGCGGGGGCGGGAAAAAGAAAGGAGAAAAGAAAGAGGACACCCGAGTACAAACACGAAAAAGGAAGAGAGAGAAGGGGAAAGGAAGAAGGAACAACAGGTATTCCCAGTTACAACAAATGAATCCAGGGACGCACCACAAATGGGGCGCCTGGATATTGCATCCAGGGATGCCCTAGAGAAGGGTGAGAAGAAAAGAAGAAAAGAAGGGAATAAAGGACGGGTCAGGTTCTCCCAGCTACAACACAAGCGTCCGGGGTGCCTGGGTGTTACATCCAGGGATGCCCCAAAGAGATAGGACAGGCCCCCGAGGGGCCTTGAAATGTGACCACTGCGGTCTGCTCATGGCATTCAGCCTGCTCTGGTCCGCTATGGACGACTATCGGCCTTCAGCCTGCTCAAACTCTATCCAAGTCGGCAATGCGTACTGAATTGATGGGCCCTGGAGAAGCCTAAGTGAAAAAATTGCCTGGGTATAAGGGGTAGTATGTAAGGCGGTCTAGCGATCTTCAGGAGGCCACGGTTTCTGAACGTCTGAAACTCCAAAGCTTCACGGTTCGGCGGGATCGAAAGCGAAGACACTTGTCTGCAGAGCTCAAAACCGACGCAATGGCCAATGACTTGTTCTAGTGACAAAGGGGCCCAGGAGGAAGTGAGTGGTAAACACTGCAGGTACCTCTGGCTGCTTGACCCTCTTCGTTGGATGAAAGAAAGACCGGGCTTCACACACACACACATCACTTCCAGGCATAGAGGTTGATCGAGCGCAGATTGTTTGATACGAAATACGGTGCAGAGCCAAACAGGTTTCCTTGATGGCTGGTATGGGTGAAGAAACTTTGATAAACTTTGTCACCCCTCATCGTCTCAGGTGACTATGTTCAGCGAAGACATCTTCGCGGGACTCATCAGTTTGATCTTCATCATCGACGGAGTCAGGCTGCTCTTCTACCCATTCCCGCCCCTGTTGCTCACAGGCGTCGTTTCCACCCGAACCCCCAGTTGAAGCTCTGTGCCCCAAAGAAGAGCGGTCGAGTGCGGGCGTGATGTTTTGGGTGGTCAGTATGTGTTTTTTCGGGGGGATTTTTTTGTTTCACGCTTGTTTTAGAGCTCTGAAAGCTCGCAAGACGAAGGATCGGGATCGCTCCAAGGAGCAGACACATTGGACCCTGCTGTTTGTGTAGTCAGCGCTGGGTTGGGTGGGTTGGCTTTGACCCACAAAAGGACAGACATCTATTTACTGTAGCAAGGGATTTCACTGCAATGGTAATGGGGGTTCAGTAAATGGGGCAGACAATTCAATCAAGATTATCCAGGTCTTTTTGCCAAGCTTCGACGCACACCCGCGTTTTTCAGGAGTGAACTCTGATGAACTCTGGGTGCATGACTTGTGCTCAACTGGATGTGATTGGGCGGATTGCCTCTGCGATGCTTCCTCATGTCCGCCGAGCCTGTCGGGTTCGAACCCACGCCGAAGCTGCGAGACTCCAGTGACGAGTGCCCCTCCCGGTTTGGTCGGCAAAGCACATGCGCCTGGGGCAATGCACCACGGCGGAGCATCCGGTGGAACATCGCGAAGTGTCCATGTGTTTTTAAATCTCGGAGCGGCTGGTCCTAACGGTTGACGTGTGGGGCAGGCCGATCATCCAGAACTTCGCTGACTGCTGGTTCGTGAGCACTGAGTGTGCCTTGACCCCAAAGGAGAGGACGCTTCGAAGGTTTGAAGACGTTTGCAGCGGCTAAATCTCCACCCGCCGCCCAAAAAACTCTTGGAAGATCACTTATTCCTACCCAAAATAGGTAGGTGGATCAAGTGCAAAAACGACTTGTTCGGGGGATCGGTTTCAGCGACCTCGGCCCCTTACCGGGACCCGAGGTCCAGGTCCACGGAGGGGTTCAGGTCGGAGGTATTGCAACGCGGGTTTTGGGACATGTTTCCATGGCGACATGGAGAAGAAAGCGACCATTTCACCAGTGGTGATGGGGTATTTTCCACCCGGTCAAAAAGGGGTTTGGTGCCTGTTGTGCCTATAGACCATGCGTCTCCTCCTTCCGATGTGGTCGGGTGTTGGACTATCTACCCGAACGGCCACTGTTTTGGTACCTTCCCTGAGGATGACTGGGTGAAGAGAAGCCTTAGAACTTAGAGCTTAAAAGCTTTGTGCCAAATGGCTGTGGGTCAAAACCTGGAGCGCCAAATCCTGGTGGGTTGACATCCCTTATAGAGGAATCTGCTAACATTCTCAGTGGTCAACCAGGGTTACGGTTAGAATGAAGATACTTACAGCCACACTGACAAGGGTTATCAGAATTATTTTGATTTTTTTTTGGTAGTTCTTGTTGTCATTTAACCGTTACGGGGCTTTGACCCACAGCCGCCAAATGTCCATTTGCATTGGCCGCGGACTGCATTTCGCTGGTTAACACCATTTCGCTGCCAAATGTTTAGGGACCCCATTCGCATGCCGAGGCGTGCCGCCGGTGCCCTTGCCAAGCGCCTTCTTCGAGCTCTTGCTCTTCCTTTACACCTTCGGACCCGCCACGCGCGGCACGCGCCTACCGCGCGCGGAACGCGCGCGGTGAAGCCACTAAGCCTCGAGAGGCCTTTGGTGTTGGTGTCAGCTGTGTCACTGCTGTGCCACTGCTGCGGTGCAGGAGTCGCCAGCTACCTGTCCCACTTCCGCCGCACCCCGTGGCTTCTGCGTCCCGTGCGAAACTTCTTCGCCGCTGAGCTCCGAGGGGATCGGTGAAGAGAGCGGGTTGCACCTTCGTACCTTTCGCACTTTTTTTGCACGGGAATGCGAAATGGCACGTGTGTCTTTTTCCCCTACTTCAGCTATTGATTGCAGATGATTGCAGTATGTTTTGGCTCACTTACCGTTTTCACGACTCCACAGCACCCCCAGGAGAGTGGAAAAAAAGCTCTCCAAGCTTTTTCATGAGCGCTTTCTGCAACATCAGCAGAACAGGACTGTTTGGCAAAGCTGCCAGGAATTTGATCGGTTTTTTGGTATATTTCATTGGAGGGGGTGGACCTCATGTGATATTAGAAGCAATTGCACACATACACACATACATGCCACTTCCTCTCATGATCCCCCTTAACATTCAGAGCAGTGTGGCCACTATGATTTGGCCCTTGACACATCAATGTGCGAAACAAGTCAAGGGCCATTGGTGCATTCTTATTTTCCCTCTCTCCATCTCTCTCTCTCTCTCTCTGCATGCATAGATCGCATAGACTCTCCCACCCCTCAAACTGTCATTGACAGGATGAAAACACCGAGTTTCCTGGCGTTTACACGCTTCACCGCTGGGAAACCCACCAGGTCAGGTGAACCAGGCCGAAGAGTGGCTCCGCAGCCATGGCACCGCAGTCAGCTCAGGCCAACTTCGCTGTGACGTTCTCCCTGCTTACGGCCAGTGCGCTCGCGGCCATTTACTCGACGGAGACTGGGGTCGCGGATGGATGCGACGTGCACGCGATGGATGGACCGAGATCCTGAGTAGCATATCCTCCACCTTGAACCCTTTTTGGCCTTTGTTTGGGACCGCCCGATCTTCGGCCGCAAATCCTCACAAAAAAGAAGGGGGTCATGTCTGAGTTCGCAGCGACCATCGGCACGTGTCGCACCAGGCTTAGATGGAGCCGCGACGAAGCGAAGACTTCCGTTGGTCGTCGGTGAAGTCCGTAGGGGGTTTTCTTCGAAAACCCCTCCGACAATGGTGCGAATGGAAGTGCAAAGAGATTTTGGAGTGGGTCCCTTCTTCTTCCTTCTTCTTGTACTTACAAGACTTGCTTTCTTTTTGGGGTGGGGTCTCTGTGAGTTGGCTGTGGTATGTGGCACCAGCAAGAAGAGACGTTGCATCAAGGCACCAGGTGGCTGAGGCGAACACCTCTTGGATCGGCTGAAGATTGGAAGGGAGAACTTTGGAACTTTGGATGTCTTATCGAAGCCTTTTGAACCAGACAACTTTTTTGGCGAATTTTTCGACCCTAGGGCCTACTCTAAAGGTATTAAACATGGCCCTGGTTAAATGTTAAGCGCGAGTGTAAGGGTTCCTGGTTTTGACTCAAGATATTCTCAGTAGCTTAATCCTCATTCTCGGTTCTTTTCGGTCTGCAGGAGACGAACTTGCGGATGCTCTCCGTGGAGGCTGAGCTGGCACCGGCACTGATGCTTGGCTCGGGGCCACCAGATGACAGGGCGGGTACTGGGGGTGGCGAGTGGCGGCTAGTGGTCAAAACCCAGACCCAGACCCTGTAGGTTGACCATGTTTGGTAGTTTTTTCTGTTCATTTTCGGTCAGAAACAGTTAGTTGTTTTTCGGTTTTGACTCCTAGGCACTAGCCAGGTGTCGAACCACATTGGATCATTTGGATGACCAAAAGAACCTATATTAAAAGAACCACTTGGTCCTTCGAGTGGCAAAGACGCCTTGCATCCGTTATGCTGTCTCTCGTCGTATAGATGGTGCCCTATGACATGTTCTAAAGAACGGCCACTTTGTTGTGGCCGCCCTGGTCCCAACCTTTCTGGCCGACCCCTTGGGTGCGTAGACCAGAAGGCTTCTTATGTGTTGACCAGAAGGGCCTGGTGTTTTGGTAGTTCAATGCTCTGTACTCAGTCACGGCAGTGTACCTGTTGAGGTCGTGGGCGTGAAGAAACACCCGCGGTTGTGGTGATTCTTGTGTTGATTGTTTTCCCGCCCCATCCTTGTGAGCGTGTGTATATATATATATATAAGATTGCATAAAGTTATTTTTGTTTTTGTCTCTTTCAGGGTTCAAAAACGAGGAGATTATGCTGCCCCCCGGCTCTGATATGGAAACCTATATAGTGCTGTAAAGCAGCTCCATCGTTCCCACTTCAACAGCTATGGGCTAGGAAAATGAGCATCAGTGCGGATGGTGCTGGGATGGACGTGAGGTTGTGGGTTGTGGGCCCGGAGGTTCCTTTTGTGGGCACCGTACTTTGGGATCGGCTTGAAGGGCGCTCACCACATGTCGTGTAGAATGAATTTTTGGTCTTTTGGGACTTTGGCAATATGTGATCTCAATTTTGGCAGCTCTTCTGCCAATTCGCTGAGACTTGAACAACGGGGTTCACCTGCCGACTTCCAATGCCAGTGAAGAGGGGGTTAGTGGTTAGTGCACGTCGTAGTGCACCTCCCTCGAGAGCTTGGTGGTCACTGAGCCATGAAGTGCTGTAGAGTTCTTAGATGTTGCATTGCAGAGTTTCCCAAGTGCTCGCCAAGAATCACACATTGACTGATGACATTTTCCCCCTCCAGGCCAGATATGAAGGCCATCCAGGTAAAGGGAGGTTAGTAATGTAGACTCTTGATGAATAAAACACCCCAAGTTTGAAGAGGTTTTTCAATTCAACCGGGGGGGTTATTCAATGTGGCGGCTTATTAATACACCCCATATGGAAGGGGGTTTTCAATAAAACCTCTCCGGTTCTCAGGGACTTCGCGAGGCTTTCGGACGACGCCCCCAGACCGTAGAACCACGAGGACCCTGAGTTCGGGCGCCAAGCGGCCGTGGATCGTGAATCCCATGGGTATCGAGATGGAGCTCCTTGGACATCGAGGGTATACGAGACTCATGCGTTTCAGTTTTTCGTCGCGCGTGGCGTTGAGATTGGTATTTTGCGAGAGTTGAAAGAGTCCAAGTAGGGGGAAGATGGCTGAAAGTGAAGATTCACCAAAAAGGGCGGGGGGGCTGCAAAGAGTGCATGGATGAATTCTTGCCCTGGTGAGTCGCTTGGTGAGTCCTTCTTCGAGATGTTTTGACATAGGTCGCACATCGTTCGAAGGTGTTATAGGTGATTGGCTTTCCCCAAACAACAGCCTTCCCTTTTTTGGAGGCTTGTTATATACATCGGACATCAATTCCGGCCTTGGGAATCAAGTGAACTGTCCCCCACACACAGCAAGAGTTCAGTCATCAGTATTTGTGGACTTGGTGCTGATCCGGACATCGGACATGGTCTTGAATTCTGCTGGGTGAGCCCACGGGTCACCCCATACACCACCGTAACGAAGTCCTCCGCACGAAGTCCTCCGTTGAACCCACCTGCCCTCGGCGGGGGTCCCTCGCCCTTGCCCGGCGTGGCGTCGGCAGATTCCCTGTCTGGGGCATCTTCTTCGCCATTGTGCCTGCAATTGGGTTCGCGGTCCTGGGACGCCCGGTGGATGATGAGACTGGTGGAGAGGAGATGTTTCAGGGCGATGGACAGGGCTGAAAAGAAGGGAGCAGAAGCACATGTGACGGCGGCAGACTGAGGTGAAAGAACCCAAAGGGGGTGAAGTGTTCCTGTATTTTTGGGCGAGGCTAGAGGTTCTTTTTGGATGCCCCGTTGAAAGATGCTGCTTTCTCCGAAGCGTTGTGGTTTTGGTGGGAATTGGCATCGGGTGGTACAGTTGGGTGGTTGGCTCGCAGAGGAACGGTGGAGCACTAGAGGTATCACCAGAGCTTGGGTGGGTTTGGAGGGCGGGCATGGCGCGGCCGCTGATTTGTCTTGTTCGAGGCCGCTGATTTGTGTAGGGTTCACAGGGATCTGGGCCCCCCCCAACCGATCACCTGTGCCACAAGCCACAAGCTGGTGGGGCCAGTCTCGAACTTTGGACAGAGACCTAGTGACCGCCACGGAAGGTCTGGTGAAAGGAAGGATCGACGAGGGATCATAGATGAGAATGGCGATGGACACAGGTTCATCGGTTCATCGTGAGATTGACAAGTACGACAAAAGCTCAACAGAGCGGCCGTGCCTTCAGTCAAAGGGAGACTGGACCAGTCTTTCGGTGCTTCAATGGTTCCTATGTTTGGCTCCTACCCCATGGGATTTTGGACAGATTGAAGTCACCACGGAGGGTTCTTTGGAGTTGAAGATGTTTGAACATCCTGAATTTCTCCCAGCTCTACTGACGGATTGTGGAAGGTTCTGCCTTGACAAGACACTAGGGTGGTCAAAGGGCCAAGCAGGTGTGTCTCAACTCCTGATCGCTTTGGAAGTTGCCCCCATTGGCTTCCGCAACTGGCCCAACTGGCCGTGGCCTTTTTCCCGAATGCGTAGCGAAGGGTTCTCGTTTAACTCTGGGGGCTTGTTCGCGACGCGTTGTCTCAGCGTCCGCAACCGTCCGCAACCGTTCGCAACCGACCGCGGTAGGGCGCTAAGGCGCTGCCATTGGGGGAAGCTTTTGGAGAGGGTTTCGGATGGAAACGTGACGTGTCAGATTCGTGTGAAATAGCGTGCAAACGTTTGGACATGTAAGATGTTGAAGTGTGGAGGATGATTTCACTGCGCAGGCGCAGCGTTTTGTGAGATCCGCAGTTTTCTGCGCAGTTCCATTGGGATTAGCGTTTGGAGAGTGGTGTTTTGAGGTGTTGGACGTGGCCGTGCCATTGGGGTTTGCGTTTCAGGGTGTTGCATCGAAGCTCTGTTTTCGTGACAAGTCTCAGCTGAAATGGCGATTTTGGTGGATGGGACTGTGATCAGAACGGGTCGAAATCATTCCAAACGTGTGGTGCGGTGCAAATTTTGTTGAAGCTCACATGATATGATAGTGTCACTTTACTTTGTCCGGGCTTTGAGGTGTGGAAGTGCGATTTTCGTGGCAGGCGCAGGGAGTCGTGAAGTTGCGAGGTGTGACGGAGGTGACATTTCGTGGCAGGTGCAGCACTTTGTGCGCGTTAGACGTGTGGACGCGGAAAGATTCGTGGCAGGCGCAGGGAACCGTGAGGTTGTGAGTTGTGGTCGAGGTGAATGTTGCTGTGACATTGGGATTGGCGTGTGAGCGGGTGTTGTTTGGAGGGGCTGGAATCGCGAAACTGCTTGGCAGGGCCGCGTGATGTGTGTGCTCCGACTTGACTTTTGGAGGAAGTCTCGTGCGAAACGCTCGTTTTGCAGACTTTGACATGTGAGTTTTTGAGGAACGTACGAAACGCTCGTTTTGGAGACTTGACGGGTGACTTTTGGAGGAAGTCTCGTACGAAGCGCTCGAAGCGTGACTTTGGAGGAAGTCTCGGTACGTAACGCTCGTTTTGGAGACTGTACGCGTGACATTTGGAGGAAGTCGCGTACGAAGCGCTCGTTTTGCAGACCCGCAGTGTGATTCGAAGCCTCGCCTGTGCCCTGCGGATTTGCACGCCCTTGGTGGAAAGTGCGTTAGCGAGGCGCCGTGCCACTGGGGAGCGCGAAACATGCTGGCGTAAACGCGGCGTGTTGCTGGTGATCCGGATGATAGGTGGTATCACGTGATATGTTTGCTTCTAGTGTGTGGCAGACCGTGTGGCGAAATTACGTTCGTGATGTCGCAGTGCCATGCGGATTTGCGCGGCCTTGGTGGAAAGTGCGTTTGCGTGGCGCCGTGCCACTGGGGAGCGCGAAACATGCTGGTGTAAACTTGTAAACGCAGCATGTCGCCGGTGAGCAACAAGAGCGTCCCACAAAAGTGTTCTAGAAGAGTGTCCCACAAGAGTGTCCTGTAAGAGTGTCCCACAAGAGTGTCCCACAAGAGTTTCCTACAAGAGTTTCCCGTGAGAGTGACCCACAAGAGTGTCCTACAAGAGTGTGCTACAAGAGTGTCCCGGAAGAGTGTCCAGAGTGTCCTACAAGAGTGTCCCACAAGAGTGTCCCACAAGTTTTTTCCCCAAATTCTGCCCCACAAGAGTTTCCTACAAGAGTGACCCACAAGAGTGCCCTAGGAGAGTGTTGTGCAAGAGTGTCCCACAAGAGTGTCCCACAACATTGCCCTACAAGAGTGTCACACAAGAGTGTCCCAGAAGAGTGTCCCACGAGTGTGTCCTGTAAGAGTGTCCCACAAGAGTTTCCTACAAGAGCGACCCACAAGAGTGTCCCACAAGAGTGCCCTACAAGAGTGTCCCACACGCAAGAGTGTCCCACAAGAGTGTCCCACAAGGGTGTCCCATAAGAGTGTCCCACACGAGTGTCCTATAAGAGTGTCCCACAAGAGTGTCCTACAAGAGTGTCCCGTAAGAGTGACCCGCAAGAGTGTCCTACAAGAGTGTCCCACAAGAGTGTCCCATAAGAGTGTCCCACAAGAGTTTCCTACACGAGTGACCCACAAGAGTGTCCTACAAGAGTGTCCCAAAAGAGTGCCCCGCACGAGTTTCCTACAAGAGTGTCCCACAAGAGTGTCCTGCAAGAGTGTCCCACAAGAGTGTCCTACAAGAGTGTCCCACAAGAGTGTCCCATAAGAGTGTCCCACAAGAGTTTCCTACACGAGTGACCCACAAGAGTGTCCTACAAGAGTGTCCCAAAAGAGTGCACCGCACGAGTTTCCTACAAGAGTGTCCCACAAGAGTGTCCTGCAAGAGTGTCCCACAAGAGTGTCCTATAAGAGTGTCCGACAAGAGTGTCCTACAAGAGTGTCCCACAAGAGTTTCCTACAAGAGTGTTCCACCAGAGTGTCCCACAAGAGTGTCCCAGAAGAGTGTCCCACAAGAATGTCCCGTAAGAGTGTCCCATAAGAGTTTCCTACAAGAGTGTCCTACAAGAGTGTCATTTGGACATATGTAGCTTTTCGATTTGTTTGCATTCGGGTTCGTGGGCGCCATCTTGTTTCTGAAATAATGTGTGGCCGTGAACGAACAAAAGCAACCGGCGACTGTCAACGTGTCCTGAGGATACTTGGACCAGAACTTGACCAGCGTCATTGTCAATCGGCCATCCAACAACCTCCAGAGCTTTGGAAAAGGTTTGGACCAGGGCAAGGGTGGAGGAACAGGGGCCCAGGCTTGCCAACACGAAGCGCGTCGTTTCACCTAATTGCGTCTTGTATACATTGGTGATTGAAGTGCAACCCAAAATGCTCCATACATAAACATCCCCTCAACCCGCAGCGCCTCGTGTCTACCTCGATTCTAGCTTAGTGCTAGGGTTCGCAGCGAGTCTGGCTGAAGGGCCAATCTTAGCTACTACACTGGCCAGATGAAAGTTGCGCTTGTTGATGTTGAAACAACCCTATCCCCCCTAGAATCCTACACCATGAGACAAGGGAAGGTGTGGGCGGTCATTTGTCACCCCGGAAAGCCTATTATTACTATAAAATTAAAAGGGTGTGATAATTGACCGTCCCACACCTGCCACGAAAATTAGACTTGTTAATTCGATCCGCCGCTGACCTCAGAGTGTTTTGTAAGAAAGCTAACAAGCGTAAACTTTTGTTTGCCTGAAGGGCAGCTCAGAGCAAACATGTAAAAAACGTGCATCCGTTCAACCTCTGCTGTTATAGCCCAACTGTGGACAAGCGTTATATATTTTATTTCAAAACATCAAACACACATAAATGTATCTACGAAGATTATCTATTTTTATTTTTACGTTTTTAGATATGTTTGGTAAATAAAAATATATGTAATGTATGTATGTATGTATGTAATGTAATGTAATGTAATGTAATGTAATGTAATGTAATGTAATGTA